AAATATGGTATATCAAGGTTGTGGACCCTATAGATGTCACAATTTTATCCGATTTTGTTGAAACTGGAAATCTAAGTTTATAACCCAAAGATCTCGGTTCCTTTCGATATTCGCGCATATCGGACTGTAACTTCCTGAATTATGGCTCCTGATTTTACGAAAAATCGCGTTTTTAGCTTGTGGACCCTATAGAGATCATAATTTTTATCCGATTTAAAAAAACCCGTATTATTATATCACCGTTACACCCTAAGGACGGCTGAGTTCGAATTTCGTGAAAATCGGCCCAAAACTGAGACAAAATGGCCGCCCCTCGTTCTCAAATAGCGTAAAAATATGATATATCAAGGTTGTGGACCCTATAGAGGTCACAATTTTTATCAGATTTTGTGGAAACTTGAAATGTAAGTTTATAACCCAAAGATCTCGGTTCCTTTCGATATTTGCGCATATCGAATTGTAATTTCTTGAATTATGGCCCTTGATTGTAGGAAAAATCACTTTCTTTTTAGCTTGTTCTCTATCCGTCTCTCGAAAATGTGGGCATATCCTGCCTGGCAGCCGCTGGTTTAAATGGATATAGAGATGTACAACATCTTAAACTAAATGGCTGATTAATCCATAAAACAGGTGCTTGATAACTAAAAGGGTGCTGACCATGAGAGACTAGCTGAACAGTTTTGGGCTTTAAAAGTAGTTTATCTGATGTTCGTAATGTTCCGCCATTATATCGTGGTTATATACGCGAAATGTGCTAAAATCGAATTTGACAAACATCAATTAAAGAAATGTATTTTTCATGTGGTGCCGGGCATTTCTTTTAAAATGGCTGCCGAATTTGGTAGCCTAATATAAGACCATTTAACAAAAAACCCACAAATTTGGTCTAATAAAAGGGCATCTCTTAAGATAAGTAAGATATGACTTTTGCTATGTCTTTTATATGGTTTTCGATGTCTCTGAATTTGAAGATAAATTTTGAAAATATAAAATAGCAGCAACACAAATTGGCGGATATTAAATTAGTCGTCATTTTTCCTGTTGGATAGTGTCTTTAAAGCATGATGTACACTGTAGTTCGATGTACCCTGTAGTTCAGATACAGTCTCCAAACCGTGTTTACACTGTAGTTTGGGTGTAGTTCGTCAAATGAGGATGTATTTTACGATATATCCATCTTGAAATAACAAAAAATGAATATATTGTAAACGCGCTTTAAATATCTGGATGCGATAGACCTCGTGATAAAAAAATCAATAATAAGATCCAATTTTAGTTTTTAGTTACACACTGTTAACCACCAATAGATGTTTTAATGACAATAAATCATAAAATGTATTCAGCTCGACGTAAGACTTAAATATAAATAGATACAGTTGGTTTAACTTGAATAGGGATTTTAATTATCTATGCTGCATATATGCATATATGACATTACAGCCGAATCACATTATTTATCTTTTTAGTTGATGTTCATATCGTCTTACGTATTTGTCAACATCAAGGTGAACTTCTATTGTCCGATTAGCCTATTCAGACTTGTTACCACGAATTTACTCACCCCACCCTCGCATAGTTATGAATTTATTGTTTCACTTGACTAAAGAAACATTTTTTAGGAGTGTAAGCTTTTATAGATTGAACACTTGTTTGCGATATCATTTTCTGTGGAAACTGGCACTATACCTAAAGAATGATTGAACAAATAGTGGAGACGGGGTTTCAGCCGTCTGATTTAAATTATTTCTTTAAATACAGTAAAGCTTGAAATATGTCAGTTTTCACTCTTTAGAATTTTTTTGTAAATAAGTTTTTATTGTAGTTTTCGTGGCGTATTCTCAATAAGCGTTAGAAACAAAGATATATATCCTTAATCCCGGTGCCGATAAATGTTGGGTTGTGTGGAACATGCTAACAAATCTCGGGTACAATATATATTTGATTCTGGTTGAGAACAGCATCAGAGCAACATGATTGTTTTCATTGGAGATGAGACGCAAATATTCAAAGGGGTCAGACAAACTCTAAACCAACCGCGTTCCCTTCACTGAGTCCCTTGATATTATTTATACATAGGCGGGGAGTGTTAACGTCTTACCCCAAACAAATTGCAAAAGAAACCATGAAGTTTCTGAGAGCGATATTTCGTTTTAATGGTGGGGGAATAAATAATTTCTTTTTAAATTTTTCAAACACAAACTGGTCATAGAGGCGAAATGTTCCGAAAACCGAATTTGACAAAAATCAAAAAATGTATTTTTCACATGTATGGCGCCGGACATTTCTTTCAAAATGACTGTCAAATTTAAAATGGCATTTTCCGACAAGACCAGCGATAATATCGTAAGATATGACTTTAACTATGTCTTTTAAATGGTTTTCGACGTCTTTTAAAGGTCACCGTCGAGTGCCGTAGTCGTGAAACGCACCATCGGGGATTTGTTGGGGCCTGTCTCCCCCAGAAAATTTCTAGAAATTTCAAGCCGGAAAACGCGTTGTCTTGCCAGGCCGTGAATACGGCAACCCGAAAGTGGTCCATTTTAAAGCGGAAATTGCAAATTTTTTAAGTTATATTTTTAAAATTTATTAAAATAAAGCCTTAAAATAGATGGTATCCATAAACAGTCCTACCTTGTTAAAGAATAATCCTATTAATCCTATAATTCACTATTGCCAGCTGAGAAATTGGGAAAATTGGGAAATTTGAATATCGCTACTCCATGGTGGAGAATAGAAAACAAGGGAGGTAATTGGGAGGTAATTGTGTTATTATTTCCTGTCTAAATGAATCTTAAGTGTGAGAATGACACCTATGATCGTATAATTGTGAGTTGACAACCTATTGAGCAAAAGACATAGAAATAATTACGTTTTGACTTTCTTAGAAAATTTGCAATTTCCGCTTTAATGAAGACATCTGAACTCCAATCAACAAATCAATCAATCAGGCTGTTGTTGCATTCACATGACACCAGACGTGTCACTGATGAAACATATATGCCCGAAACAAATGTCGCTGTTAGTGCAACCCATTTGTGACAATTTCTAGGTCCCAAATATTAGCGATTTAGCTCCTTTAAAAGCGAATGCAAGTTAAATATGTTTAATAGCGCTTTTATCTAGTGTATTTTTTATTTTGATTTTTCTTATAGAATAAGGCTATATAACAATAATGTGCGCTTTTTGTTGTATAATACTAATAATAGTATGTTGAGCTATACTTCTCGTTTTAAAAAATGTATATTTTATCTCCTATAAACACTTATTCGCTGAAATCTATGACATCCAACAATATAATAGGGCATATAAATAGATAATGAGTTGGTAGAGTTACTTGGGACCCAAGATGGCGTCTTTGTACACTTGACGTCATATTTGCATGACGTCATAAGAAATTCCTGGCTTCACAGTTGTCGCAACTTTATCTATACACGGCTTTGGTGTCAACCTCCTTTTCTACCCGTGAACTTTCGGGACTTTTGGTTTGCATTTTTGGTTGTGGAAAATGGCAGCATATCGACCGTATGGAAAACGAATGGTAAGTAAAATTATTTCGAATAACGAAAGAATTTTAAGTAAATAAACTAAATCAAATGACTATAATTGTGTATGGATTAGTCTTATTATGTGCGATTTATTTTCGCCAGAATGGTAGGCCTAACAGTAATGGGGCTCACTTAGCCTAGAACTTAAAAGATGGAATTTATCTACAGGCCTAAAGTCTATCGGTATTATTCACTTTTTGGGTCACCATAACTTCATACATACCGTATAGTTAAAACCAAAAATGGCCTTTCTATTCAAGTTCAGCTATGGTCGTCACGCAGGGTTGGGTGTTAAGTCCCTCACTGTTCATTGTTTATGTGTTTATCTAACACCAATCAGGTGGATATTATTAATTTAGTTGTATTGTTTTTATTATTTATTTCCAGCTTAAAGCCTGCGTCACAAAGGAAACCAGTGCTACATGTAGACCTATCCATGAATCCAATCACTTGACAAGCAATCAGGTAGGCTTTGAGGATCGTTCGTATGTATGCATCTAGGTCTAGTGTGGCCTATATATCGTTTTGTTGTGCCTAATCATTTTGTTTCTCTGTCTTTAGATTTGGCGTATGAATTTATTTGTTTCTTTCTTGAAGGTACACAGACCAACGATGAAAAAGAAGAAAGATGAGGCTATCTTCTTATGGGTACGTAATGGCATTCTACCGTGATGTATTTGGAGTTCGACCTGTTAGTAAAGGTAGATCTAAAAATAATCAAATTATTATTCTAAATATAGCTATCAAATATAATTTGAATATGTAAATTCTTCATGCATTCTGAACTTGACTGAAGACTTAAAATTCTTTGTCATTCTTTGACTATAGGAATATCCGATGTTTAGCCTACACAAGAATCAAGATGGCTGGGTATTTTTTTATTGGAACTTGTTGATAGCCGACTACAGTAATTCTAAGCGTTATGTCCTTAGTGTTATGTCCTTCAATTTTGATGGTAAAAAATATGTGTGAGTATAAACATATTACTAACTATTGGCGCATCATGCACAATTGTTAAGATCTTAAACGTAATTTATAATTATCAGATAATCTTTGAACGACCCTGAAATGTTAAAAAAAAATGAGTTACCTGTTGCAAGGCTACCTCTTTTTATTTACTCCCTTCTTTAAAAACCTGTCACTCATAAACCCCGACTTTGCTTTGTGCCAGGGATGAAAAGCTTCATGTAATTCTATACTGTGAAACCATAATCCCCCCACAAATAAAAACATCTACACACTTTACTATCTAATTTTGTCTAATACAAATACTCGCTCCGTTAAAAACCTGTCACTCATAAACTCCGACTTTGCTTCATGTAATTCTATACTGTGAATCCATAATCCCCCCTCAAATAAAAACATTTCATTTGCCGAAAGTGTAATACAATATCATTTGGGATCTAAATTTCAATATTGTATTCTGAATTCATATTTTATTTGTAACTCATTTTGGACATATATTAAGTGACAGATTAATTGTAAGTTTTAATCTATATCAGGTATGGGGAGTTGACATAGTATTATGTAAGATTTAATGGATTGTACAAACGTGCATACTCGGAGTGTCTATACACTAAAAAAAAACTTGTGTTGTTTTCAACACAAGTTAGGTGTCTCTATTTAACAACACAAACTAGTGTTGAAACAACACAAACTTGTGTTAAATGTTGAAACAACACAAGACTTGTGTTAAAATTTACAAAACAACACAAACTTGTGTTGAAACTTGTGTGAAAATCTACACAATACTTGTGTCGAAACTTGTGTTGAAATTTCTGAAACTTGTGTTGAAATTTCTGAAACTTGTGTTGAAATTTCTGAAACTTGTGTGGTTTCATAAAAACTTGTGTATAACCACCAACAAAAACTTGTGTTTTATTTTCCCTCAATTTAGCAATCTTTCCTATGCAGCCCCCACCCCTTTTGCTCTGTTTAACCTGTAAAGTTTGATAAATGAGGTAACAATAATTTTATTTGTTAAATTATCATTTATTCATAAAATGATAGGAAAAAGTAAATCAACACCACCAAATCAAAACTAAATAGACATCATTTGAAATGTTAACAGAAAAACAGAGATATAATTCTAATACTAATAAAAATTTTGTTATACTTTGCCCCCCTCCCCCCCACATCACAAAATACAAAATAGCTATTTAATTTCTTCTTTACCCGAAAACAAGAACTGAGAAAAGAAAGATCCCTACCCCATACCCCAAAAATATATAATTCAAATATATCTAAATTTAATAACATCCAAACCAAGCCCTAATTAGATTAATTATGCACTAAATTGAAATACTTTCAGAAACTGAAAAGTGCTACAAAGTCATATTACAAGTGATTTGTGAGGCATCTAGAAATAACTAGCATACACAGAAAACTAACAAAAGAAAAATGCACTATTTTGCAGGAGTAATAAAATGATGTAGAACCTTTTCCTCAAACAAAATGAATATTTTGTACATAAAAGGAGCAAAGCATCAAGATTACAGGATTGAAAAATAAAAAAATATCAGAGAAAATCGCAAACATTAAATAATATGTACAAAATATATATAAATAATCACAAGTCAAAAGCAAGGAGGAGCCACTGTGGTTCAGTGAGTGCATTGGCCGAGAAATTTCAACTGGATTTTCCGACATAGTTCCCACACGTCAGTAGTGTAGGACATGGCAAGGGATAATTGGGTATAAGCCCAGAATTGAAACTACCCCCACTGCGTTTACTTTAAAGATACCCTTGACAATTGAATTATCTGACTCAATGACAGACCCTTCTGATCAAATGTGCGTGTGTTAACCATTCGGCCCTCCTGGGTTCCCTTTAAACAACCCTTGACAGTTGAAATATTTGATATAAGAGTAGGTTGTAGGGCAGAATCACCATAATAACACAGAAAAGTAGGATATTAAACCCTATTTCATTTCATAAGCAAGGGAAAGTCACCTCAATGTAGGTCAAGGTTTTTTGTAATTCTGGGTATATTTGATCTACATTTGGTTTCTAGACTATACTTATTAAATACTTTATGATTTCCGACCAAATTCTAAGTGATTTATATGTCACTTTACATTCTATATTATACATAAATTTCTGTAGAGAATTAAAATCTAATCGTGTTTGGGATGAATATTTAACAGTAAAAACAAAAAAAAATATTCAAAAATTGGGTCAAATGCATTCTTTTCCAGAATTAAAAAATAAATTGATGCTTGGGATCTCTTGTTGTTATCATACATCAAATAATCTTCCAGCCTAAAAAATAAAAAGTAGGCAATAAGAATACTTTCTTACTATTTATGGTTCACAATGTTTAAATAAACAATTTATTTTGCCACATCGAGACTGCGTCTCTATTTTGTTTCATCTTTGGGTAACACTTATTGTGTCTTGTCCAGTAACAGACCCAGGCAGATTATTATATTTTATTTCCATCGACAACAAATTGGATATTACCTATTAAAATCTTTTTGAAAAGTAAAATATTGTCCATTTTTATACTGCTATTTACTGTAAAAATACACATAGGGTCTATCACAACTTGAAGAAAATCAATGGATGTGATTGTCAAAAATCAAGAATGCCAAGACTTGAATAGGAGAGTCCTAGGCATTGCCCCAAGAAGAATAACTAGATTACCAATCAAGTGTATAGAACTAGTTGATGATTAAAAATACAAATATGTATGTTACTTACATTTTACCTGATTATCAAGCTCTGTGAGAAAAAGTTTCCAAAATATGAATAGCCATTTCCAACTGTCTTGATCTTTCTGATGTAGTTAACTGAGAAAAACAACATACTATGTTTTAGTTGACTTAAATCGATTCAATATTTAAATAGACGGAAGTTTTAATTTAATTAAATTGTATTGTAATGTGTTGGTTTGCTTTGTCACAGATGAGACAAAATGAAAAAAATGAAATGAAATTGGGTTTGGCGTCCTACTGTTCAGCTTCGACTGGGCTAATGAGGTTGGGCATATGCCATACAGTGTGCCACGAGAGAAATTTTGCCGGGTACCGTGACCCTAAGGCCTACTCTTGTATCAAATTCTAACTGCCAGGGGCTCTTTTACATGCACGCCAATGTGTACACGGGACCACGTTTTTTTGTTCAATCTGAACGACTAGACAGCTGTCCTTGTAAGGCCCCCCGTACTGCATCGTCTTACTGCAAACCCGCGACCTTAAAATATGCAAACCAGTGTCTAACCCACTTGGTCACCATGGGTCCCCACAGATGAGATAGTCATATCTACATGTATCTGGACATAAGTAAGATTCTGTCTGTGCACATACATGTACGTGTACAGTTTTACTATACTAAACTGAATTTTAAATTTCAAAATATTAAAATGAAATCGGGGTTTATGTCACATCAGCTCCAACCGGGCTATATTGTGCCAAACACATTATGGTGAGATTCTAAAATACCACAACAACAATCTTTTCTATTAGAATTGAACACTCACCCTCCAAAAACACCTATGAGAAATCATAGGTGCTCAAATCACCATTTCTTCAGCTCTTTCTTTTCCCATATTTGGGTTTTTTGACTTATTTTATTATATGATCTTTGATTTGCTATGGCATCTAATATGGAAACTGAAAAATATGAATATGTGACATGTAATTAACTGTTTAAGATACCTTACCATATACAAACTGTGTGATGTCTAAAACCATTTTAATCCCGAAGATCTTACCTAAACCGTGAAAATCTGTTTTAATAACCCTTGTTTGTCATGTGACTGGAGAGTCACAGTAATTAAAAGAGAGCCATGTGGCTTAGTGTGTAAGGCACTGGCTTGCTACCCGGGAGGTTGCGGGTTCAGTCCCAGTGTTGACCGAGAAAGCTCATTTGGATTTTTCAGCATGGATTCCCTGTCTAGTCGTCATGGTGGCTAAGTGGGTAAGACGCTGGCTCGCTAGCCTGGAGGTCGGGTGTTCGATCCCTGCATTGGCCGAGAAAGTTCACCCAGATTTTCCGGCGTGGTTTCCTCTTGTTAGTGATGCATGAAGGCGGGCCTGACAAGGACAGCTGTCTAGTCATTCAGATTGAACAAAAAAACGTGGTCCCGTGTACACATTGGTGTGCATGTAAAAGATCCCCTGGCAGTTAGAATTTGATACAAGAGAAGGCCTTAAGCTCACGGTACCCGGCAAAATTTCTCTCGTAGCACACTGTATGGCATATGCCCAACTTCATTACTGCAAACCCGCGACCTTAAAATATGCGAGCCAGTGTCTAACCCACTTGGCCACCGTGGTCCCCCACAGATGAGACAGTCATATCTACATGTATCTGGACATAAGTAAGATTCTGTTTGTGCACATACATGTACGTGTACAAATTTACTATACTAAACTGAATTTTAAATTTCAAAACAATAAAATGAAATGGAGGTTTATGTCACATCAGCTCCAACCGGGATATACTGTGCCAAACACATTATGGTGAGATTCTAAAATACCATAACAACAATCTTTTCTATTAGAATTGAACACTCATCCTCCAAAAACACCTATGAGAAAGCATAGGTGCTCAAATCACCATTTCTTCAGCTCTTTCTTTTTCCATATTTGGGTTTTTTGACTTATTTTATTATATGATCTTTGATTTGCTATGGCATCTAATATGGAAACTGAAAAATCTGAATATGTGACATGTAATAAACTGTTTAAGATACCTTACCATATACAAACTGTGTGATATCTAAAACCATTTGAATCCCGAAGATCTTACCCAAGCCTTGAAAATCTGTTTTAATAACCCTTGTTTGTCATGTGACTGGACTGTCACAGTAATTAGAAGAGAGTCATGTGGCTTAGTGTGTAAGGCACTGGCTTGGTACCCGGGAGGTTGCGGGTTCGCTCCCAGTGTTGACCGAGGAAGCTCATTTGAATTTTTCAGCAGTGGCTAAGTGGGTAAGACGCTGGCTCGCTAGCCTGGAGGTTGGGTGTTCGATCCCTGCATTGGCCGAGAAAGTTCACCCAGATTTCCCGGCGTGGTTCCCCCTTGTCAGTGATGCAGGACGGAGGGCCTGACAAGGACAGCTGTCTAGTCATTCGGATGAAATGAAAAAACAAGGTCCCGTGTACCGGTACACGTTGGCGTGCACGTAAAAGATCCCTTGACAGTTGGAATTCGATACACCGCAGTGCCGCTGTCCGGGCAAAATTTCCCTCATTGCACACTGTGTGGTGTATGCCTGTCTTCATTAGACAAGATCGGAGCAAAACAGTAGGACGTTAAACCCCATTTCATTTCATTTCTAGTCGTTTCAATGGAAGACAAAACCTGAGGTCCCATTGGCGTGCATTTAAGCCGATAGTATGGTAGTTGGAATTTGTTGGCTGTAGCACCCGTGTCACAGTTCGACTGCTAGTTTGCGATACCCACTCGATATGAATGAGTGGTGATTGGCTAATGAATTCTAAAATCAGACGAATGCTTCGGCGAAGCGGACACACCACTCAAATACAATTCGGCCAAATATATCAAACATGTTTGATTCGGGCGTATGTCAGTGGATAAACTAGGTGAAGTTTAGCGCCAATTGATTCAGCCAAATCCTTTGGCTAGTTTATCCAGCACTGACGATTTAAGTTTGTACTTTCTTTATATGCAAATATCACATTTGAAAGAGGCTGTAAGCCTACTTTCTTTATATGCAAATATCTTATTTGAAATAGGCCATTATTATGTGATTCCCCACTTGAATGTGACTAGGAATAGGGTCGCCTGTCCAGCCTTGTGGGTTTTCTCAGGGTCCTCCGGTTTCCTCCCTTTGCTAAATACCCCTAGGGTGTATTCGAAACAGTGTTCCGGTGCAGAGAACGGACGGAGAATGGGTTCTTGTCAGACTTGAGCAGTCTGGAATGCGTTCACGAACACATTCCCGTTCTCAAATCCCACACTACCTCATAGCTGGTGTGAGGGAGAACAAACATGGTCGACGTATCGATAACTGCTGAGAAAACAGCATCATGGGTGCATTTATTAATTTAAAAGTTTAATACCGTTCGAAAATTGGATGTAGTATGTGGCCAGTATAACATCAAGTAAGTTAGGTTGCCAGGCAACGAAACATATGCCCACAGCAGTTTAATCGTTTGCGAGTCAACAGGGATTGTCGCATATTCATTCTTTTGTAGGTAATGTGGGCATTTACAAGAAAATTTCATACAAGATTATAATTGTCGTCGTTTGTGGGTTTACAAAGGTCGACGCATCGATAACTGCTGAGAAAACAGCATCATGGGTGCATTTATTAATTTAGAAGTTTAATACCGTTCGAAAATTGGATGTAGTATGTGGCCAGTATAACATCAAGTAAGTTAGGTTGCCAGGCAACGAAACATATGCCCACAGCAGTTTAATCGTTTGCGCAGTCAACAGGGATTGTCGCATATTCATTCTTTTGTAGGTAATGTGGGCATTTAAAAGAAAATTTCATACAAGATTATAATTTTCGTCGTTTGTGGGTTTACAAAGGTTCTACAAACTGAAACAAGGGCCTTAATTGTTGAAATTTGACAGATTTTTTTGTTTTGTGTTTTACTAATTTAAATAATGCATACAATTTTCATACAAATCGGATGATAATTTTGTTGTTCGTGCGTTCACAAGGTTCGAAAAAGTGAAACAAGGGCCACAACTCTAGACATAATTCACAGAAATCGCAGAAATTTAATAGACGTCTTCGTTTCACTAATTTAAAAGATTCAAATGAATTTCACAAAGTGAAACAAGGGCCATAACTCCAGAAGAAACTAACAGAAATTATTGAAATTAAATGGGATTCATCTCATTAAAATAAACAACATATCAATTTTAAAATAATCAGTTCTGTAGACGACGGACAAACCTACGGACGAGGGCGTATCAAAAGGTGATGTAATCGTCATCCAAAGAATTGAAAAGGAGTAAAACGGTGTCATAATTTATCAAAACTAAGCTTAATAGCGAAGTAAATACTAAACAAGTTATCGTAACAGATTGTATAAATTTAATTCATCTTGTTACCATGGATACCGTTCTCTCATGTTCGAGACTCATGAAAGTGTTTTCATGTTCTTCAGCCGTTCTCGAACCTGCGCAAACACTGTTTCTAATACACTCCTACGGTACGCGCAAGCAAATCATTCAAATAAAATTGAACAATATTAGCCTCGAAATTACCTAGCGCCAGTAAGTATAAAGGATCTATCCGACAAACACTAACAACAACTCTAGGTTGATTACATGTCATTTGGGACTCACATCATTTGGGACTCGCGTCATTTGGGACTCAAAAAAATATGACCACGACATTTGGGACTCCGGTATACGACGTTTGGGACTTTGGTATACGTCGTTTGGGACTCGGGTTAACGACGTTTGGGACTCGGGATAATTTATTAGAAATAGGCCAATTCAAACAAAACACGAAAGAAAATATTTAATAACATGAAACACGTGGTTAGTAAAAGGCTCAACCAAACGATAAAACATTAGTTGCACTTACGGTTCTTTGATAATCATCGTTTCTCATAAAAGTTTTATATTTATTTAAAACGAATAATATGCTGATGAATTTATTTGAAAATGACCTACACAAAAAACAAAATAAATATTTACACGACATGCAATCTTTTTTTACAAGCCCCTAGAAATTGTTAACGATAATCCGTGAGCTGCACGTTGACATGCTTGTCGTAGATGGCAATACCAATTGATAAATTAGTGCGTACAAGGCAAAGTTTTTTTGTGGAAAATATAGGAAATGGCAACGATCAAAGTGGGATAATTAAAGCTGATTAACTGATAATCCCAATGTTATTACAGTATGTTCAAAGAAACCTAACGGTTCTTTGGTGGATGAGGAAAAATGTGAGTTGTCAATCATCGAGAATGGCGGCCGTGTGTTGATTGCAGTTATACCGTTTCACGAAAAAACATTAGCAGTGGTCGGTCGATCAAGCTCGTTTACTATTTATAACGCAAATTTTTCGTTTCGGTTAAAACAAAATATACGTCCATTTTAATTGGCCGAAGGATGTGTGACTAATAGAAATATGGCGGGCGGACAAACTGACCAAACAGTATATTTCGAGGTATTTGAGGTAAGCTAATTTAATATTATATCATAACTGCATGTGCATACTTGTGTTTCTGTGTGATTAAATATTCAAAAAATCATTCTTAGGATACAGCCTCGACACCAGTCAGCCCTGAATTGCAATGTTTGTTTTGTGTTCTGGGCGCCATTTTGAAAAAAACTGACATGACCTATATAATACAATCCAGCGATAGTGCAGTCAATTTCCTTTAAAAGGGAATCCGAATTTGTTAATTTTCTGCAATATCACTTCGGTGGTAGCGGACGTTAAATAAAGCTATTTCACGTACAAAGACCTACAATAAAATCCAGGTGAATTGGGAAAAATATTCATGTATTTTCTTGATGAAGAGTAGCTATTTCAATTTGTAAATGCTCAGTCATCTTAGACAAATAATAATTCCAACTTCAAATCAGTTGTATTTATTCAAATCATACTATGAATAATTGTATTTTTCCACTTGCATAATAATAAAAACTTGACTTTTATTATTTTATTTCTTCAGGCCAAGAACATGGAAAATTGGTAATTGCCTTGTATCACTGCTAACTATGATAATAATATGGTTCTCAGATATGTTACTGTGTACAGACTGAACAAAAAATATATATACACTTGCTATTACATGTACATTATATCATTGGCAATAATAAGATCCAATTTTAGTTTTTAGTTACACACTGTTAACCACCAATAGATGAAAATAAATCATAAAATGTATTCAGCTCGACGTAAGACTTAAATAAATAGATACAGTTGGTTTACCTTGAATAGAAGTTTTAATTATCTATGCTGCATATATGCATATATCACCTTGCAGCTGAATCACATTACATATCTTTTTAGTTGATGTTCATATCGTCTTACGTATTTGTCAACATCAATGTGACCTTGTTCTATGTCACATTAGCCTATTCACACTTGTTACCACAAATTTACTCACCACACCCTCGCATAGTTGTTGCGTGGATTGGTTTCTAAAGACAACAAACAATCAATCAGCCATTTGCATCCAGCGTGTATTCTCCAATGATCACATGATCCAAACACAAGGAATTCCCTAAAGGATTTCCCTTACGTCATCATCACTATTTAATACCATAACATCTCCCTTTCTTCAGATGGACATCAATATAATTTTTATTAAATAATATTATAAACTAACATACTTATCTAGTATCATGAAACTATAAAACTAAACTATATTAAACTACATAAGTAAATAAAGTTAATCATCCAATACAGTATACACTTAAAATTTAACCATATATACTATCCTCCTTCCTTCATAAAGAAAAGAAAAGAAAAAAAAACACATTTTCAAATATCTAATCTATTAACAGGTTTTACTACTCTTCCTGATCTAGTTGTATAATAACCCTCTCTATTTCTAGGCCTTAAATTTCCATTATTATTCATATTCAATCTTACATTTCTGTTATTAACATAATTATTATTATTAGCATTATTCACTGGATCAAAACAATACAAACCAATATCATCAAACATATTTCTATTTAACTTAACAGGATAAGGATTT